ATGTACTGCGTTACTGCAGAATGTACTGCGTTAATCCAGAACATCCGTTACCTCGTGCTGTGTTACAGTAAACGGTGAGTCCAGGACGTGCTGGATGAACGTCCAACATTCAGGATGAATATTAAATCTACTGCGTTTGAACTCAGACACGCGACTCTGCTGCTTGTTTGTGTTCAGCCTCAGATGTTTATTTATTTTGCTTCTATCTTTAGTATGTTTACTTCTTGTGTGTTTTTATTCTTATTTTTTCTGGATCAGGAGCTGAACTCGTCTCGCTGAGCTGAGTTAAACTCTGTGTGTCGTCCTGTGAATAAAGGTGTGAAGTCCTGAATGTTGTTGTGTTTCAGGAGGAAGCTGGTTCCTCTGAGCAGGAAGGTGGAGAGCAGAGAGAAGAGGAAAGAGGTGAGCTCAGCCCAACAACAAACACTGAGGAAAGGTCTGGATCAGGGCTGTTAGTTATTACTGACGTCAGAAGGTCGTGATGTCAGTAAACGCACCAGAGACCAGCTGCAGTACCTGGTTGTTCCAGCAGGTGGAGCCTCTTCCTGTTTAATCCTGTAGGAGGTTGATGCCTGTAGTAGGACACCAGCACAGACCTGAGAGGCTGATTGAGATGAGACATGGCGTGATGATGTCATCGCGTGTTGATAGATGTTATTGTTAATTGACCTCTGCTGCTAACCTGACCTGACTGGTTCCTTCCTGTTTCGTAGGAGAAAGCTCTGATCGCCGCTCAGCTGGACAACGCCATCGAGAAGGAGCTGCTGGAGCGTCTCAAACAGGGAACGGTAGGACAGCAGCTACATCTACATCTACAGCTACAGCAGCTACACTAGCAGCTGTGTTAGCAGCTACATCTACATCTACTACAGCTACATCTGCAGCTACATTAGCAGCTACATTAGCAGCTACACTAGCAGCTACATTAGCAGCTACATTAGCAGCTACACCAGCAGCTACAGCTACAGGTCCAGCAGGCTTCACTATCTTCATGTGCTGATGTGCTTTCAGTACGGAGACATCTACAACTTCCCGGTCCACGCCTTCGACAGAGCTCTGGAGCAGCAGGACGAAGAGTCGGAGTCTGAGGAGGAGGAGGAGGAGGAAGAGGAGGACGACGAGGTGAGGAAGGCAGCTTTAGCCACACAGATAGAGGCACAGACAGGAAGGAGCTTTATTCTGAAAAACTGTCGTCTGTGTGCAGGACGTGGGAAGGAGAGAGTTTGTAGCTGAAGAGGAGGTGGAGGAGAGCGACCTGAGCGACTTCGAGGTAACAGCAGCTGGTTTATTATGTAGACAAACGATGTGTGACCAGAGCTCCGGCCGCCTTCAGATCAGCTGATGGCTTCCTGACCATCAGAACAGCTTCTAACCAGCGTCTGTGTTTCCTCTCAGGACATGAACAAGCTGAAGACGAGCAGCGACGAGGAGGAGCAGGACGAGTCCAGCGAGGAGGAGGATGAGGAGGAGATGGAGGTCCAGACGAAGGCCTCCAGGTCCAAAGGAAAGTCTCCGGCCAACGGCTCGGCGGCGAGGAAGAAGCGAGCGTACGTGGAGATCGAGTACGAGACGGAGCCGGCCGCCAAGAGCCGAGCCACGTCGTGACCGTGGCCGTCAATCAAACCTGGGACTGCTGAGGACACGCCCCCTCTGTTGCCACGGCAACGAGCCGGGCGTTTGTCCGTCACTCCGTTTTGTCCGTAAAAAAGTAAAAGTTTTTTTCACGTGAGCCGGTTTCGCTCACCTGGACGTCTCCACATCACCTTCATCAGTCACCAGCCGACTGATTATTACGCAGCTTGTTTCCAATAAATGAATAAATACATCAGTTTAGTCGTCAGACGGTCACGACGTCGTAGAGTCGAGCTGTCGGGGGTTTGACAACCGATTCTTAAGCCACATGCAAAGCGTCTCGACAAGAGGCTGAAGAAACCAGCGACTGGTCCGGTTTGTTGAGTCCAGCAGTCGTACGTTCAGCCGCTCTCTGAAACACAGAAGTCCTCCACAAACAGACGTCTGTGCTTCACAGGAAGTCGAACTCACCTGGAAGCAGCTTCCTGTCGGACGACCTCAAGTGACCTCAAGCTCAAACAACACTTGTTTTTTTTTCTGCTCTGTTGAAAACACGACTTTTACACACAGTCATGAATGAACACGTTTGAATCTGTTTAACTCTGTAAATGTTTTTGTTTTCAAAATAAAAGTTATGAATAAGAGAAACTTCTACAAAGTTCTTTATTTCATTTTCTCTTTAAACGGTTACGTTAACCGACTGAAAACTGTTTCAGCAACAGCTAACAAAAATATAAACCGGGGGTGTCCAGTCCTGGTCCTGGAGGGCCACAGTCCTGCATGTTCTAGATGTTTCCCTCTTCCAACACACCTGATTCAAATGATCAGGATGGTTACCAGGCTTCTGCAGAGCTTGATGATATCCTGATCATTTGAATCAGGTGTGTTGGAAGAGGGACACATCTAGAACATGCAGGACTGTGGCCCTCCAGGACCAGGACTGGTTCCCCTGGGCTAATGGACATAGAAGTCTCAGATGTTTGAGTTCAGCTCATGAAACATGGGAGCAAAAACATCTAGATTTCTGTTCGGTGTAGATCCGCTGGTTAGAAACTGTTCACGTCATGAACTAAAACAAAACTCCAGAAACGCCGTCCTCTACAGGCAGAGAGGGGAACTACAGGAACTCCTGCAGACAAAGGAGACGCTCAGTCCTGGTAGTATATACAGTATATATACTTTATTTACAAACAACTGAGTCCCCGCGGTCGAACAGTTTGAAGTACAGCTGAAGAAAATCCTGACAGATTAGGGATATAAATAGTCAACGAATCAGAAGCAGCGTCTTTGTTACTTCAGCAGACAGAAAATCAACAGACATCACAGAGAAAAGGAATAAGATGTAGAGAGCAGGTCACAGGGCGGATCAGACCAGAGGTTGGTCTTCCATCGCTTCCATTTGTGATGTTTGAGTTGTTGACCATCAAAGTTAATCATTTAAAACGGCATCTCTGCTGCTGACATGATGAACCATGAGGACCTTTATTGTTATAAGTGTTCTTGTGTTATCCTTCCAGATTATAGCTGATTTAGAAAATGTATTTGTGAACAAAATCAGGAAGCAGATCTTTAAACTGAACTCTTTGTGTATTTTCTGATGCTGCAACAGCGCCACCTGCTGGCAGCACCATCTCTTCTGTTTAATTCTGACATATTTTAGTAAACGACATGCTTGTGATGCCCTTTGGCGAGGGACGCTTAAGGCGACGGTCCCAACACAGCTTCAGCGACTCCTCGTTGACTTCTTCGACTCTTTGGTCCCTGCAGATGTCTAAAACATACGAAACTTGACGAGGAAATTATTTCTTCTCTCATCAAAAAAACAAAAAACAAAAAAAGAGGCTTTTTCCTGCGAACGCTTAAAAAACAACCAGGAAGTGTCGTTTTACAGTGAGGAGGGGCTTCATTCATGAATCGAGCGGATAAAGAAGGTCGCCGTCCACCAATCAAAGGACAGCGAGTAGTCACATGATCCCTCCCTCCCCCATTGGTCCAGATCTCCTCCATTAGCAGCACTGGCTCTGGAATCCTTAACACTGAAGCTCGGTCTGGATAGGTGCACATGGACCAGAACCGGAACCGAGGACATGAAGCGAGCGAGGCGGGGAGACGACCGGAACCCAGAGCGGTCGCCCTTTAAACCCACCAGTACGGAGTCCCAGAGGTGACAAACGGCGCTAATGAGTTAAAATTAAATCAAACTGTGGTTCAGTGTCATGGAGCAAACAATCAGTGGACAAAAGAAAACAGTCAAAATTATTGTTTTTGTATAAAATTTAAAACTGTGACTTGTTATAAAATAGATAAAACATCTCTCAACTAATCATGAAATTTAAAATACAAATAAGTCACAATTATGTCAGAAAAACCAACTAACTGTGACCAATTAAGTCGTGTTTTATATAAAACCAGTTGTTCAGTCAAATACAACCGGACATGATCGCGTTCTTTCCCTTCAGACGAGTTTATCGCTTATTTACTGCAGACTAAAATACAAACGATGGATTTGAAATAGGGGAATAAAAAAAGAGATTAGTTTCTAACCAGAACAACTTACAATAGAGAAACAAAAATAAAATAAAAATGATGGTAAGTTAGGTGGAAAAAAACTGTGTAAGAATTTTAAGAACAAATTTGTGAATAAATGTAAATTTGAGCTTAAAACATAGAAACTGTGATTGAGGCTGAACATTAGTAATTTCATTATTTGGCTATTTTACGTTTTCTAAACTGAGCAACAGTTCATCCAATTTTCTGAAAAAAAAAAAACAAACAACCAAAGTCTAACTTATGCATACAAGTGGTTTAATGTACAAACGTAAATGAACTCATTGCAGATAATTACAAAACAATGTCACTAACAGAAGACATCTGTCACTTCAGGGACTCCGTACAAGAGGAAACACGTCTTAGGTTTTTGTTTTTTTTTTTAAAATCTCGCTGCTATTTAAGTCATTCACGTTATATCTGACTGGAATTAAAATGAGCACACAATCATTTCAGGCTAAAGCTGCGATAATCAATTTAAAAGTCCGTCGGCTTGTTCCGTTTTGACTCGGTTCTAGCGAACGTTGACTCGTGCGGCTTTAAAATATTTCAAAATAAAAGTTTAGCGAGCTACATGATGGGGGTTTGGAAGCTGGTTAGACTGCTAGCGTCCCGCCAAGTTAGCGCCAGAATCCCGCTCTAAACACCGTGAACTAGCTAACATCGAGTCTTTAGTGGACGACTGAGGGTTCGAGGAGACTTTAAAGCACTTCAGGATGTCAAGGCTCGGCAATGTGAGTTGATCCAGGTGCATTTGAAGGCATCGTTTTTCATTTTTCCTTCAGATATTAATGGTAGAATTTTGCCGAACACAACGTCTCCCGACTTCTGTCGAGCTGACGCCACAGAGACCAACGCCGTCAAATAAAGTGTAATTGTGGTGTAACATTCAAAAGAAAGCCAAACACACAAAACAAAAACAGGCAGCAATAAATTAAAAGAGATCTTTTTACTTCCACTTGTGCCATTTTCCTTCCCTTCATTTAACCAGGAGGGAAGCGAAACCAAATGGCCACAAGGGGGAGCTGTGATGTCAAAAACAGCACGTACGTATATTTGGTTAAAAACATCGACAATAACAAGAAAGAAATAAAAGGAATTTAATAAAAATCTAACCTGAACTTGGGATCCACTGAGGGATCGGCCTCGTGGTTCAGGTAAGTCATTTTGTCTTCTTCATCAATCAGCTGCTTCGTCGCTCCAAGAGCAATCAATATTCAACGTTGCCTTAAACGAAGGTAAAAGGTTTTAGATTTCAAATAAAGGCAAAGTGTGGAGATGCACAGATGGCGGTTTTGGTTACTGGGTTGGTTGATCAAGAGTCCAGTAAACCTGAGTAAGACCGGGTCCACAAACATTCAGCAGAATTTCTCAGAGCGGTCTCACTGTCCTGGTACTTGTGTTAATGCATGTGGCTGTCGGATAGAGTCTCCACAGGTCTGTTTTGGGTGAGGTCCCACATTCTGAAAGACCTTGAAAACGTTTGACTGTGGATCTATGTGGACTGAGATCACAGCTCTTTTTTGTCACCATTTCAGGGGAACTCCAGTGACTTGGATGTGGTTGGATGGAACGTCACTGGACTGTTTGAAGGTTTTAGAACTGTGCTTCTACTTTTAACACACAACACTAACAAATGTCTGGAGGCTACAGTTTTTGTAAAACATCAAGATCATGTCTTCTGCTCGACCCAGCCTGCCCGGTGAACTCCCTGCTTTTCAGACTCCACGGCTTCAGTATGCAACACAAGCATTGGACTTCATTGGACAGTTTAAAACCTTCTGTCAAACAAAAACATTCTTATCTGCATCACGGCCTGAAGCACAATGAAGCACATCTGCGGACATATCAAAAAGCACCACCTGTTGTGCGGCTTCATTTTTGCACGACAGCACAAAACGATGACGAATTCAACACAATCTTTAGCTGGACATTATCATTGTGAACTGCCGGATGTGTTCCTTTGCACAGATGCTGAACAAAGCCTGGGCGTCCATATTGTCGTGTCGGACCGCAATGACCAAAACTTTAACGAACGCATTTGGTGGTTGGAAAAATACTATGGAATCAACAAGTGTTAACCCCGGAAAGTGCTATCCCCAAAGAGGGACTTTTGCAGACTTTGGAAAGCTCCTCCTGAAGTACAGTCAACAACACACTAGTGGTGCTAAGTATAATGGGTAACCTGCTCTTGTGTAAAATCAGTGGAGTACCCCTTTAAACTGCATTTGTGGTGACTGGGCTATGAGGACATTTTCTACTCAGGTGTAAATACAGTTATCTGACCACAAAAACAACAGTCCACATCAACAGCTAGAGTGTAAATGCATTTTCTGAGCCACATCATCAATATGGTGCAAACAGAACTGGTCTACAGTCCACACAGAGCTTAAAGACAGTTTGTTTCATCAAAGACTGCCATCTGGAAACGTGGAGAAGTTTGTTGGAACAAATGCTTTCTGTGAAGAAGGAATCCAAGATGCCAGGCCAAAAGTCCCTGATGTCGGCTGAAGGTAGTCTCAGGTGATCTAGGTCAAGCCTAGGATCTGGATGCGTTCGCTGGGATTTTACATCTCAACTACCCTCAGTGGGTTTGGACCAACGGTGCAGCGGACTTGGAAGAGATGGGAATCCCAAGGGTAGCCCAGTCTTGGAGAAAAGGGGTGTTCAGGCTTTGGAGATCAGAATGATTTCCCAAAGATTGCAGTGAAACCCATATTTGGGCCGTAAATAAGTCCCTATTTGAATCTTGCTTCTTGAAATATTAATGCTCCCAAAGTCTTGCTTGAGTTGGGCCAAAATAACTCTTGATGTGGGAGGGTAGTCCAGTCTTGGAGTAAGGGTCTGTCTAGGATTCTAAGGTTACAATGAGTTGCCAAAGGTTAAGACAAGTATGGCTGGATGTGGGCTGAGGGCAGGGGTTGCCCAGCCCAGATTTGGGCTGTAAACTAGTCCTGATTTCAGTCTTGTCTTTTGCAATTTGTGTATTGAGGGAAGATGTGGAGAAGACAAGTTTGTCTGGATGTGGGTTCAGGGCAGGGTGGTCCACATTGTAGTGAAACCTAGATTTGGGCTGTAATTAAGTACCAATTTGAGTCCTCCCCTTTAAGACTTGGAGGTTAAGGATAGCCCTAAAGTCTTGCTTGAGTTGGGCCAAAAGAACTCTCGATGTGGGAGGGTAGTCCAGTATTGGAGAAAAGAGGCTATCTGGGTTTCTGAAATTACAATAGTTTGCTAAAGATTGGGGCAACTGTGTCTGGATGTGGGCCAAAGGCAATGGGTAGTATAGCTTTAGTGCTTTGCCTAGTTTGATTCCTGGCCCTTGAAACTTGAAAGTCAAGGATAGTCCCAAAGTCTTCATTGAAATTGGCCAACAGAACTCTGGACATAAAGACGAGGTTGGGAGGGTAGTCCAGTCTTTGGGATAGGGATTTTCTGGGCTTCTGAGGTTCGAATGACTTGCCAAAGACTGGGACAAATGTGTCTGGATGTGGCTGTTGACAGTGGTCCTAAAGTCTTGCTTGTATTCGGCCTAGAGAACCCCAGACATGGAAGAGACAAGGTTGGAAGGGTAGTCCATTTTCAGGTAATAGGGCTGCCCAGGCTTTTGTGATAGCAGATTTGCCAAAGATTGGTATGAGCAGGGCTGAGTGCATTGATTGTGGATAAAAGCCAGATCTGGGCTGTATTTGGGGCCTATTTTTTTTCCAGACTTGGATGCTGATGGTAGTCGCAAAGTCTGGCTTGAGTTGGGCCAAGAGAACTCTAGACGTGGAGGAGGATAATCCAGTCTTGAGTAAAAGGGCTGCCAAGGCTTGTGAGGTTAGACTTATTTGCTAAAGACTGGGACAAGCATGTCTGGAAGTCTGGATAGGCGTGGGTTTCTGATTGAGCCCCAGCTGGTTAATGTTTGGTTGGGTGGAAGATGGTTGACTATTGTTTTGGGTGCTGAACTGAACAGGTGGATGGACTGTGCCAGTGCTGTTAAATGTCATCCAGCTCTGATGTTTCTGGTAGAGGGGGTCTCTGTGTCCGTCCGTTGATCCATTTGATGGGTCTGTAGTTTCTGTCTGTGGTTAACAGCTGCAGCCCTCTTTAGCCGGCTGGCTGTCGGCGTTGAGGCGGCCTCCCTGCGGTGCCGATGGTTTGTGTTGGACTCCCGACTCTGCGGCGTTCAGGTCCAGACTGCCATCTTGGATGTTCTGGTAGATCCTCTTCGCTGCTTCCAGGAAGGCCTCCTCGACGTTCTCCCCTCTGAAGGAGAAACGGACGGAGGTCAGAGAACCAAAATGATGTGCACATAGACTCACTGGTAAGGAGGTGAAGTTCCTTCATATTGCACCGTTCACAGCACGAAGTCACAAAGTGCTGAACAAAGAAAACCAACATCAGTCCATGAAACCACAACGAGAGAAAACAGGAAACGAGCAGCAGTAGATCCAGAGATGGATAAATAGTTGTACTGAAAGTATTAAGAGCATAAAGATGAAAAACCAGATCATAGTAGGTGGCACAAACAAATAAAAGCATCAACTGAGACATTCTGTGTCTCTGACATTTCTTTTTATTATTTATGTGTGTCGGTCTGACATAAAGGGAAAGGCGCTTCAGAAGGACTATCAGCCGATACTATAGAATATTTTATATCAGTGGCTTTATTATTCTTAATTGTTTTTTGGCAAGTTATTTTAGTAACTAAAACCCAACATCTCCAGTGCTTCTTCAAGTATTTAGGCATTAGAAATGTTGCAGCTAAAGTAAAACATATCTTAAGGAGACTTTAATGTGCTAGCATGTTAGCTCGCTGGTTCGCTAGCTGTGAGTCATTGCCAAAACCCTAAAAGCACACAATGCATTTAATTGTGTCCCTTTATTCAGATTCAGTCTTCTTTGCGCTGACTGATGACGGGTTTGTACTCACGTTTTGGCGCTGGCCTCCAGAAACAGCAAACCTGACCAACAACAAAGCAGACAGTCAGTCAGTCAGCGTCCCGTTTTCTGCTGCTTCTTTCACATTTGAATGCTTCGCTGCTCATGCAAACGTCTCACCGTTCTCATCGGCGAACTGTTTGGCCTCCTCGTACGTCACGTCTCTCTGGGCCTCCAGGTCGGCTTTGTTTCCGATCAGAATAATCACCTGCGACACACGACACGTGCACAAAGACTCAGCAGGAGGACTTCATCAAGATCATTAAAATAGAAATGGCTTCACGGAGCAACAGCAGCGGCTAACGCTGCAGGAACACAAGGAGAAAAATGTGCCTAAAATGTGCAAAATTATCCGCAAACACACAAACAAACAAACAACAACAAAAGTATTTAATGTCCAAAAAAGCCAGTTAGGTCACAGTAAACCCAACTACACAGAAGATATCCAGGAATTTCTTCCTCAAAATGCAGGAAGATGAGCTTTAATTTAGCATTTAACATATAAAGCCAATCAGAATCAGGGTTTAGGTTAGCTTAAACCCTAAAGCTAAAGCTACAGAATTTACTAAAGAAAACAGCTGGTTGTGCTTAAAGATGTCATCCTGACCAAGGCTAAAAAACAAAATAGAAATGAATCCTGAGGCAACAATTCTTTGAGTTACAAGTTTTCTGAAATGTTATGTTTAAATATGCAAATGAGTCGTGAAATAAGAAATTTGAACACTGAATAAATGTATCTTTAAAAAGTCTTGTTTCATTTTGTTGTCAAAGGTGTTTATAGATTATTTGTAACACTCAATAAATCACAAAATACTGTCGACAGACTTTGCCACATTTTATAAGTAAAACGTTCAATAAATCAGACTGTGGACGACGCATGAATAAAAGCCCTTTATTAGTATTATATAGCAGTGCAGACAGGATCAGAGTAGGAAAACTATCATCTGTGAAAACAGCCTTTAAAGATGTGGAGAATAAATAGAATCTATAGCAGCAGGTAGACAACATAGAGCATACTGGTGGAATAAACCACCGAAACCATAACTGTCCATTTAGAAAGTGTTACTGTGGCAGAATAAACCTGAAGCTCTTGGACAGACGGCGGCAGCGTTACTCACCGTGTTGGGGTTCGTCAGGTTCCTGGCGTCCGTCAACCAGCTGCTCAGGTGATTGTAGGTGCTTCTCCTGAACACACAGAGCAAAGAGTTATTGGAGGTCAGGTGACCAAAAGCATCCTGGATGTAGATCTCTGAAGCAGTTTGATGAGTACAGTCAGGACTGGATAATCGACCCTTAACAATCCTAAACCTGCTATCCGACAGGTTTGTAGGAAAAACAAACAGAACCCATAAAAACAGCCTGAACATAGCGACAGCCTTGGATTGTGACTCCGACATGACATTTAATGTCACCAATCAGGATGACGGCGTATTATCTGACTGAACAATCCCACAGATTGGCTACGTTCACACTGCAGGACTTGATGCTCAATGAGGATTTCTTTGTGACTTCCTTCACGTTTCCACTTCAATGCGACTTGTATGTGATCTGCTGTGTGAACTTCATACGAGCCAAAAGTGTCCCGCATGCGCAGAAGAGGACACGACGACGTCACACGCAGCGAGCGTGCTCAGTGTTTGTGGAAGTAAACATGGATGGTAACGGTGGAGCGTATCTGCCACTCCCCCGCCGCCACCGATGGAGGAAACAGAAGTGTGAGCGCTAACTAAACTAGCATCAGCAGCCAAGTACTGCCTGTGTGTTCTGGACACTTCCACCCCGTCAGAGCGCTGCCCCGGGGTGGAAGTGGCCCCCAACCGCACCCAATGTTCTGATATTCATCATTAACTGGGCCTGAACATCCAGAGACCATAAAGTTCTATTGGGACCAGAACTACTAGTTATTATAACAACTATGAACAATAATGAACAACTAATGAGCCTTCCAGCATCAAGCCCTCCTCGTATCTGGACCTCCGTCTGGACAATCCGACAGCCTTGATATCCGACATAGAAGAAGGTTTTACATTTAGTGTTGGATCATCGAGTCATGACTGTACTTCTGTTTCAGGAGGATGATTTCTGTGTTTGTTTTCAGTCAGACTGAAGATAAAACCCGACTCATGGACGTGTCGGTCTGTTTGTGGAGCTGCTGGAGCTGTTTGTGTCTTTGTTTCCCTGAATCTCTCCAAGCTGAGGAGCACATTTTAGTCCTGAGTCACTGACGATTTATGATTATTTATTAAAAATAAAACCATTCTGGACAAGTTTCAAGTCTTTCTAAACCAACTTTGAATCACTGTGGACACATTTCAAGCTCCTCCCACCCCACCTGTCCCCTACCTGGTGATGTCGTAGACCATGAGGGCCCCGGCGGCCCCTCTGTAGTACGACCTGGTGACGGCCCTGAACCTCTCCTGACCGGCCGTGTCCCAGATCTGCAGCTTCACCTTCTGGCCGTGGACCTCCATGATCCTCGTCCCAAACTCCACCCCGATGGTGTGAGGGCAGTCGGCCATGACTGCACACAGGAAACAGGAAACACAGGTCAGCTGGTCAACCCAACAGCAGCTGGATCGCTGTGTGCAGACCAGAGGTGCGTTACGAAACAACGCCGCTAGCGAATCACATTCAGGACGTCTGCTGTCAGCGCCGTGGTGACACTAAAGCCAGCGTCCTCCCCGTGTGACGGTCGGCTCTAATGGAGTCACATGTGTTGGTGCTGCTCACATGTTTTACATCTGGCACAGTCGATAACGTATGAAAGCTCTGCTACGAGACATTTCACCCAAATCCTTCAGAAGAACAAGAACCGATCAGTCGAGTTCAGACGTCTAACACATGGAACACACATAGAACATCAAACCTTTAATGTTAGAAAATAAAACACACGCTACAGGAAGGAAACGTGAACTGAACGAGTAAATAAAGCGTGAAACCCAGCGCCAGGCTTCACAGGCCCGCTTCGGTTTGTTCTGGTTTTAATCACCAAAGTAATTCATCAGCCGAAAACCAGGAACACAGAACGAATCCTCAGATGTTCTGATCATCTTTAAACGGATCTAACGTGTGAATCAGGACTCAGCAGACAGAAGCCTTACGCTGTGGCGTTTCATCCACATCGCTTCATTTTACATCTCAGTTACATTTTGGCCAAAAATAAAGCAAAAAGGTTTCGTTTTTTAAATAAATAAAATCTGAGCCTCTGTGCTCGACCAGGGGATCAGTCACGACTCGGCTTTGAGCGACGTGTGACAAACAACCAGAAGCTCTGCAGGAGGCGTTCACAGAGAAGAACTGATAATTAAAGAGTAAGTAACAGGCGCTCATTGAAATGATTACAGTGAACTATTTTCCCCCTTTTTGTACAACTTGTGTTGTTCTGAGTCCTGCTGACAGAAGACGTCTCTGAGTTCTTTGTGTTCTGGTTCCTCAGGACTTTAGTGAAACCTGAACCTCAGTGAAGGACCACGAGAGGAAAACGGCCATAAAACTGTTTGCTTCAGACTAAAGTTAACGATAAACCCAGCTGCAGCTTGTTGCAGACTCAGGCGGCCATTTTGTCTGTTTTCTCAAAAAAAAAAAAAACAACAACGTCCTGAAAAGTTACAACAACAAATCCTCACACTGGTGGAAGTGGACACAGCAAATATCTGGTGGATCAAACGGCACCGATCGGTTTTCTGTTGAGGTTCTAGAGCACTGGTAATGAGCTGGTATGAACCGGACCGCTCCCACAGCCATCAGCGTGTCCGGCTGTCCAACACGATCGGAGACTTTAACAACCTGCAACCTGAAACCAGAGAGAAGCGAAGGGAAGAGACTCACACTTTTTCTCTGTGAACTGATGCAGCAGACACGACTTCCCGACTCCCATGTCACCTGCAGAGGCAGAGAAACATCAGGAAGGAAGAGTTACAGCCAACCAGACTGAATGGGTTTGAATTCACCATGAACCAGTGTTTAGGGTCACATCACGGCTGTCAGGGAGCTCAGGCTCATGTGATCTCAAATCCTCACATTTATTTATTTTTTAGAATTTATTCATCATTACTTCCAGCAAGAAACAGAAAACAGATGATCAGGATCAGCTCTGCTTGTTTTACAGCGTCGGTCGGTTATTCTCCAGGCAAGCAAGCTAAAATATAAATAACATCAAAAGCGGCTGAATGTGCTTCCTCTTATATGCGTCTTTTGGAGTCGGCTCAGGAATTCAGGAAGAGCAGCAAACTTTTTAAAATCATTTTGCCTGTAAAATGTCAGAAACTGGTGAAAAACGTTCATCACGTCTTCCTGAAGGCCTGATGTGACGTCATGTCGCTTCAACAACCAAAAGAACCCGTTTTGTTTTTTAAAAGCACTTGATTTGTTGAAAAAAAGCAGCTGAATTTGCTTCTTCTCTTTTTTTCTTTTTTGCATTTTTGGAGTCGGCATCAAAAGTTCTGGATATTTTTTCTTTGAGTTAAAGAGCGTGGCGTCTGTAACTGGGACCACTTTGTTCCATCAGTGATCCTTATTCACCGTCTGAGCACCAAAACCTGTCACATAAAAACACCGACTATCAACCAGATGTCGTAAAAACTGAAAGAATCATCAACTCTGACGGTTCATTGGGGGGAAAAAACCCCCAAATCTAAGCTTAAAATGGTGGTTTTCCATCAAAAAATCAACTTATTCTACAGGCTTCCATTAAAAACGGGCCCAAAATAAACAAAAAAAAAAAAAGAGAAAAGGTTCTGAGGTCCTCAGACACACTGGAAAGCTACGAGTGACTCGGCTGTGAGCAGCAGTCACGTGACTAAATCTCAGAGAGCTTCCTGCCGACCTGCAGCTTGTGTTTAGTGAAGCTGTTGGACGGTAGATTCAGAGCGATGAAGGATGTGTCTGGACCAGGGATCTCCAGCTGCGGTCCTGGTGAGCTGCTGCCCTTAATGGATCTCCAACAGCTTGTTAGTGATCCAGTAGTCTGAGTAAAACCTGCAGGACAGTAGCTCAGGAGGACCGCAGCTGGAGATCCCTGGTCCAGAGTTGATGGAGAGCCGGCAGGTTTTCTAAGTATCGTTTCCAGCTGTAGACGAGTGGAGACAAGGTGCACAAGTGGACACAGACTTTTATAACTTATGTTAAATTCATGATCAGGTAGAACTTGTTTCCGTGTTTTATGATTTGTGTCACTGCTTCAGAAGTTCTCCTCCTTCATGTTCTGGTTCCTCAGAGCTGCAGGACTTTATGTTGAACCACAGTGAAGACAAATGGGACAGAATCAAAGAAGCTTTAGAAGGTTACACCTGCTTCCTACCGCTCTCCATTAACACCTGATCGATACAAGTGATCAATAATCAGTGCTGTTGACTACACTGTAGGGTGATAGATGGCTGTAGCTCCTTCATGTGACTGAGTGTGTTCAGCTCCTCCAGCCGCTCACCGATGATGATGTACTTGAAGATGTAGGAGTAGTTGTACGGAGCGCCTGTCATCCTGAACCTGTCCGGAACAAGAACACCACAATACGCTGCGTTTAGTTCACACAGTCCACACCCGTCCGACAGCCCCGACCGAGCCCGACCCGCATTAGCCCCCCGAACCACCCGGACACAAACCCTACAGAGAGCCGACACCCAGTCCGAGAGTCCGGACCGAGCCTGACCCGTTCTAACCTATTTTAAACAAGCCTTCAGGAACAAACAAAAGGAGGCAGCCGGCTAGGCTAGCCCGCAGCTAGGCTAAGCACCGAGCCCAGCGTCAGCTTCGAGCGTTAAACACCGTGACAGTCCTGCGGGCCACCAGCGGTCATCTCCCCCAGAAGTATTAAACTGAATCAGCTGACTTCCTCCTCCGAGAAAACCTCCGAATTCCTGCTGTGAGCCGAGCTCCGTAGCTAACCGGCTAACAGCTGCAGCTCTGTCTACGCCTTGCTAACAGCTAGCAGCTAACAGCAGGAGGCCACTTCTCATCAACAATAAACATCATGAAACAAACCCGACAGACAGAGAGTTTGATAAATGTCGTTCTTTTACCTTCGTCTGGGCGTCTATCCAACCTGTAAACCTGGTTAAGCTGCTGCTTAGTCGGATAGTTGTCTGTGTTAGCTGGTTAGCCTGCTGAGCCGTCAGGAAGCCTTTCCTACTCTTCCGCGACTCTTCCGCTCATGCGAGAAGACCGCTAGCATCGCGAGACTTAAAGCGTCCTACTGCCAGCCAGTGAACAAAACGCACTTCATCTGCACAATGATCGCGTTTGTGGCCTCTTAATATTTACATCTTTTTTTAAATGAAGGAAGCCGATTTGGTGATTAGTAGTTCCTGTTTTACATGTGCCTGTAAATGTACCGACAAATATCGCTGAGTTGCTTTTTTACCAAAGAAATCCTAAAAACGTGATGATTCTTAGGCAGGTTCTGCACTGATTTATTTTTCTTTATTTTCTACAGGTATTTAAGGATTTTTATTGGTTTTAAGAAGTCATATGAAAGTGTAATAACCCTTAATCTAACAAACACATGTTGGTACATGCCTGTGTGTTTAGATAGGACTTATTACTTATTTTTAGCACTGCATCAGGTACTAGTACTTTCTGAAGCATTCTTCCTGGGGGACATCTGTCTGCTGGTTTTTATGTCCAGTGTCAACACCCACAAAAAAATCTGTCGTGGAACAACAGAGAAAAAAAATCACAAAATAGAGTTACAATGGCTCAAAGCACCAATAAATGGAAAATGACAGTGGTGGATGGAATAATTAAAAAGTAGACAAATTGTTAAGATGCAAACAAGTTATAGCGTCAAAGTGTCGTTAGACTAAACTGACTAAGCGTGCACACAGGTGCCCCAGTTAGAAGGAAAGTCATGTTTATGGAGTTTGACTGGTTTGTCCTCTGAACGGGTGAAGTACATTTTTGCTGCAATTATTTAAAGGCAATACATAAATTACTCATTAAAACAAAGAAGCTTCATACGTAGCGTTCAGAGGCAGCTCTTCTGAGGTGACCTCGCTGGGCTAAGAGGGCTTCGTAGGTTGTTTGACAGTTTGTTGTTTCTGCCTCCGTCTGCAGTCATGATGAGAGTCCGTCCTCCGCCTCCTCCCTCGTGTGCTGAGGTCACGCAGAGGCAGGACTCCACCGTCAGACCTCAGACTGCTTCACTCGGAGCAGATAGGAGCAGCGGTGAGGAGCAAACGGGAGGGAACCAGGCTGCTGTTTGGATTCTTCAGCTGAGATATGAGCCTGAACATCTGAGAGGACAGACATGGACAAACAGAAAGGTACCGTACTCCCTGTTACACAGCTACAGACGTCACGTACAGGAACACTGATGGTATGAATGAAGTCCTCCCGCTGTGGAGATCACAGGAGAACACCGGCGAGCACTGCAGGACAGAGAGGTTGATGGTAACAGAGCCGATGGCGTCACAAAAGCTCTCCATCCAGGAGAAATGTGTTTAATCAGACGGGGAAACTTCATTTAACAAGAAGGTTTTAGATGTTTCATATGTGCTCATCTCACATCATATGAGCACATAGTAAGTACACCCCTGACAGTAATCAGATTACCTTTGAGCTGAACAGTGTTTGCTCTGACGGGCTCAACAGCAGGAGCTCAGTGCATGGAGGAGACCAGAATCCATTCGTTTCTGCTCAGATCTTCTCACGTTCTTCACACTGTTTTATTCAGATGCTGTTTGAGGGGTTCTGTTGAAAACACCACAGAGGTGTTGAGCTGGTTTCAGGACACAGACTGCCAGGATTCTGCTTCTAGAAACGTCATCAACACCTTCTGCCCTCATGCAGCCCCACATCATGATGCTGCCACCTCTGTGCTTCACTGTCAGGACCATGATCCACTGTGGTGGTCCTGGTCAGGTTCACACCAAACATCTGGACTCCATGTGAGCCCAACACATTGATCTCCATCTGACCAGAGGATGTTCTCCAGCATCCATCAGGCTTCTGTTCATGTTCTCTGGTGAACTTTGATGTGGAAGTTTAGCTGTGAGCAGCAGCCAGGTTTAGTTCTGCTCCTCCGTCCATAGAGGCTGATGTTCTGAAGTGTCCTTCACACTGTGTGAGCTTCACACTAACTCTGGTCTCCATTGATCAGCCCTGTGCCAAGTCTGAAGCAGCTGCCTTTGTCTGGTGTCCACAGCTCCATAGTGACAGTAGTTGACTGTCCGTGGAGTCATTGTAGGAGGACGACCACTGCAGCCCTGATCAGTGCTGCTGTGGCTCCTTCTGGACCTCCTGGTTCCTGCTCACACTGGGCTGCACTGGGTTCTAGCTGCTCACTGATCTTCTGGATTCTTCTCCATCTTTGTCCAGTCTCTCAGTCAGATGTTTCTCCTCCTCTGTTCAGGTCTTCTCCATGTGGAGCCATGATGCAGACATAGATAGACACAGTCCAGAGGTCCAGAACTGAGAAGGTTCTGCTGCTATCAGCTCCTTGTAGAACCATGTTCATGCAGGTGGACTGATGGGAACCACAGCTGGACTCAGTGATCACAGGTTGATCCACTTCTGTTTCACTGAATTTCTACTTTCGGGTCGGTCCGTTTAATATCGTCTCTGTGAAGTGTTACAACAAAGCAGCTGTTTACTTCAGAACCAGCTGAAGATCTGAATCATTTATTGACGCATATGTGATGTTTTATGGACGTTTTTTGTATTTGACAGGCTTCAGATGTCGGACATACGATGAAACGCTTGATGAGATCTTTTGTTTTTGCGTGTTGTGTTCCAGGTGTTATCACATCTGACAAACACCGACATGTTTAGGACGTTTAAAATCAACCTTCTTCTCTCTTGATTTGTTACGTTGAACATCCTTCTGATGGATTTATGGCCTCAGGTGCTTGTTTTAACTCAGATTCACGCCTTGTTCACAACGAATCAACTCCAAGTTCGAGTCCACAAACCAGAGGGTGACTTTACAGGAGCCACGTCCATCTGGATCATCCTCACATGGTGGGAGTGTAACTACATTTCTGAAGCCTCCCCAGCGCCCCCTAAAGGCTGCGGCGTTCACTACGACTGCATCGTGATCTGACCTGTGAAGGAGCTGTCGTGCAGTCTTTATCACGCCGGCGGTATGTTAACTACAGCAGCACAACAACCGGAAACACTCGTCCGTCCTCCTCCGTCATCGTTCCTCCCGCTGCTCTCAGGAGACCGAGCTAATGGCCTGTTTAGATGCTAAACCGACAGCTTGAGCGCGTTCCTGCCGTTAGTCGGCTTGAGTCTCGACCGTGTACGCTCTGTCACGACTGACTCGATTGACGGCAGATTTGCGTATCAGAAGTTTGTTTTCGCTGCTCTCCTCTCCCGTTAATCATCTCACGACCCCTCAGCCTTATCTGGTGACCCTTTGAAGGGGCCTGACCCTACGTTGGGAACCGCTAGCTAACTGCACATAAAGTAGGAAAAAAAAACAAACAGGAAAAAGCTGCTGAAGGTTTGAAACAAGGTTCTGCACCTACATGTGTACCGTTCATGTCTATGCAGGACGTTCTTGTGATGGACCTGCACAGCGTCCAACCACCTGAAGGCACGGCCACGAGATGAAAAAATTAGATTTCAATAATGATGCAAACATTATTTAATGAGCTGTGTGACATAATAGTTTCACCAACTTAATACTGTGTGTAATTTAAACTTGTGTTAATTGATTTCAAGCCAAACTCAGGTTCTAGTAAAAACCTGCGTTTGCTTGATGACTTCCTGTTTCTCCACTTTGAGGCGACTAATGACAATATGTCGTATGAAACAGTGCTGATGATAGAAAACATGCTAACTCTCGTCACTCAGCATCGTGCTTTTGGTTGAACACAGCTCCTCTCCAAACCGTTGGGTTATTTTTGTTGTTGTTAAACCTGTTGTCATGGTAACCTGTTTGTCTGAGTGAATTCAGCTTTCATGGCCGAGTACGCACACGACATACGAGGAGTTTGGTTCTGGCTGCTGGTGTCGGCCCGGGAATGAGAAATAGGAACATAAAAAATAAAGTACAATAACTGCACAAAGAAAAGCATAAAAATAAAATAAAATGAATGATAATAATAAAAAATAAGACGACACATGACGCCGATAGTGACGACTAAACGGGTTGATAAGGTTCAAATCAAATCAAGTCACTTTATTGTTGTAAAAACAGGAAACAGAATAATACGAGCCAGCTCGGTGCAGCTACTGGTTAGCGGCTGGTTACTGGTCTGGTGGGTCGGTGCTGAGCTGGTCAGTGCAGGCAGTCAGCAGTGATGTAGACGTTCCTCCTACATGGACCAGCCAGAAGACCAAGGAGCTCCACACCCTGCACCACCCACTCCCCTTAAAAGGCCCCGAACCCGCAACCTGGTTCTGATCTGAACCCTGAAACCAAGTCCGAACCCACAAACGTCTCTTTGAAACCAAAATGTCCTCACAAGGCAGGAGCGTCCTCACCAGGTCCCAAACCGCACACGTCCTCACAAAGATAGCTGCACAAGAACACGGTGGACTCCCGGCGGCGGCGGCGGCTAATTTCAGGGTTCGGTTTTCATGGTGAAGCAGCTCAAATCACTTTCAGCTTCTCCTCAACTCTTCAACTTTGGCCAATTACAGGAGCAGCGCCGCCGTTTTCCTTCTGCCGCCACAGATTCTTTCATTTTCAAGCTGCTTTTGGCTCAAAGGCCACAAACAGCTTCCCGGCTGAGCTGGTCGGGTGACGCTGCTCGGACTCTGTAGCTTTACATCACGCTCACTGTGACGCTGCTGCTGCTGGTTTGGTGCAGAATCATGAACCTCAGTGTCAGTCTGTCAGAGAGACGGAGGACGTAGGCAGGGTTCTGACAGTTTGGTCCCAGTCCAAATGAAGATGACGCTGAAGAAGATTTTCTGTGTAGCTCAGCCTGCTGTGGTCCACCAGCTGTGGCCTCCACGTGAGATGCTAGCCCTGATTTCACTGACTGTCCGGAGAGCTGAGCGTCTTCTCCTAAAGCTCATGTCGGTCCACGAGCGTCTCCAGGATGTTGATCAGAACCATAAATACAGACATGTTCATAACATTTTGGATCAGTCCTCAGTGGTTCTGAGCCTGGTTGGAGTCCTTGTAGACAGTTTTTTGAGTCTCTTTAGACAAACTTTACAGCAACTTTGGACTTTTCTAGTAGTTTTGGAGATTCTGTGAGTCATTTCCAACACGTTTGGACTCATTTGAAAACTGTTCAGTCACATTTAGCTTCATCTTCAACTAACTTTGAGTCACAGCGACACATCTGGAGTCATCTCGTACGAATTCTGAATAATCTTGAACATGTTGTTTTTCATTTTGGATCGTTTTTGGGTTGTTTTGTACAAAGTCTGTATAGTTTTGAATCATTTATTACACGCGATATGCTAGCAAGCTACGCCGTTTCAGAAAAGTTCAAGTCATTTTGGACCTTTTTTAAAATAACTTTGGACCAATTTATGTCTGGTTTTGGACAATTTATTCATTTTGGATGGATTTATAACATTTCAGACAATCTGGGGTTGTTTTTTTATTTTTAGCTCATCTGGGGTCAAGTTTCAGTCGTTTCAGAAAAACTTTTGCACAAATTCTGCATCGTTTTGGACATTTGTTTTAATTTTAGACAGATTGTTGTTTTAAACACTTCTTAAGTTTTTTTGGTCGTGAGTCAGTCAGCAGGATTCAAACAGACACTGAACACGTTCATGGAGATACAGCAGGCTGAAATGTTCTCGTTCAGGTTCAGCTTAGCTTAAAGCTAAAGTGTTAAACTGAAATGCTAAGCTTGTGATTTTATGTGAGAACGTCAGACGCTCCAAAGAGAGGCTCAGTCAGCGCTGTCACCGTGGCTGGGCAGGAAATCTTTACGTTTAAGGTTAGGTTGTGGTTAGGTTTGGGCTAAATGTCCAGGAAATGAGCGTAAGTCCATGTGATGTCCAGTGAAGCGACGCAAACAGAACTGTATGTGAGTCCCGCTGCTTCAAAGCCAGAGACAGGAAGTGATGCTGATGCTCAGATAAGCTGCGTTCAGCAACACAAACTCCTTCCTCCTCGGCCGTCCGGCATCGCTCTGCCGTCGCCGTGGGGCTGTGGGCGGGCCAGCTATGTGCAGCGCCACGTTTAAATCAGCGGCGGGCCGATAAGCAGCGCCGGGGCATCCTTAAAGTCAGCAGAGAGGAGTTAATCAGAACCCTCGTCTCCCACTCGGCCCGGACCCTGAATGGACTCAGTCTGCGGGCATGAATGGAGCTGCAGGACAATGGCTGCATGTTTTTACATGTTCGCCTCCAGCCGGTCGTGGCTCACACTGAGGCCCATTTATGACCCAAACAACAGCAGAACCGAGTCGATACCTACTTTGTGTCTCCGCCTTTTCCATTATTATAATACAGAGACAGCCGGTCAGGAGCATCAACATGCTGACATGGTGGGTTACACGTCATTAGCAACACGTCCATTTAGCATCGATCTGTACATCCAGACAAGCTAGAGGAGGTTTCTACGGGTTTTAGTTGTTCCCGAGTACAACAAAAGTGATCAAAGCTGCAACAAAGACTAAATTATCTGGTATATTTCTACGTTCATTAAATAATTCTGGACAATTTTGGGTCATTTCAGACTAATTTTGAGTCGTTTTGGTCAAATTTTAAGTCATTTTGGACATTTTTGAGTAATTTTAGACAAATTCTGAATAACTTTGGACAATTTTGAGTAACTTTGGATGGATTGTTCACTCATGAAAACGTGTCAACAAAGTTAGCTTAACGATGACCCATAATTAGAACAAATATAAAAATACTGAAATACCATATATGTGCACTTGACTGCAGGGTGTCATAATAAACTGCAAAATATGTTTAAATCCACCTTCTGGATAACTAGAAGACATTTTAAAATACATTTAAATGTGAGACTGTAGCGTGCTACATGTGAACTCGCTAATGTTCGGCTAAACATTCATGTTGTAGGTTTAGCAGCTACAGAACCACAGAGGGACTGATTCTCCTTTAATTAGTTCATTTCTCAAATATGTACGTGGCACAAAAACAATATTGTACAAAAAAACGTACTCGCTAACGCTAAAGTACACGTTGTGTTTTCAAGGATGCTAGTTTTTCACCCGAGTCCTTCATGAAGGTCAAGCGGCCCAGTGGGAGGTTTAAGGTTCTGGTCATCACTACGGGGGTCCTTCAGGTTCTTTAAGAGGTTCTCGTGGGCCTTTACAAGAAGCTGGTTGTGGTGGACACTGAGGATGTTCTTGTCTTTACGGTGGTTGCAGTCATGTTCTGGGTGTCAGCGTTCCAGTGGTCCATTAGGCGGCTGTGTTCAACGGCCAGGAAGTTCTTGGAGTCTCTTAGAAGATTCTGATCATGACGGAGATTCTCGGCTTCCTTTAGGTGTTCCGTTGCTAAGTTAGAAGTTTTTTATTTTGGTGGTTCCAGTGGTGAGTGAGAAGGTCCCACAGACTGCTCAGATGGTTTCAGCAGTTACCGATGTGTTCCCGCTGCTCCTTCAGGTGGTTGAAGTGGACAGTGAGGAGGTTCTAGAGGAGGTTCTAACTGTCATTACGTTAGATTCGTTTAGAGGTTCTAGTGGTCAGACCTGAGGTGCTCTTACAGGTTTTCTTGAAGGTCTTAGTGGTTCTTCAGAAGGTCTCGTAGGTTTGTTAGAGAGTGGACGTGTACACAAAGGAGAACCTGGGGAGGCTGTAGTCCTGGTCATATATGAAGAGGAGGTCCTACAGGTTCTTTACTGGGTGTGTTATCCATTTACAGAAGCCTCTTTTTTGAGGTTCTAGTGATCAGAATTGAGGAGCCCTTATGGTTTCCTGGGGGGTTCCTGTTCTTGGAGGTTATTACATGGTTCTAGTGGCCTCTGAGAAGTTTCCATGGATCCCTCACATGGTTGAAGGGGACACTGAGGAGTCTGTAGTGGTTTCTAAGGTTTTGGAGGCGACTGAAGAAACTCTAGTTGACCTTTAGGACATTCTTGTGGTCACTGAGGAGGCCGAATGACCTGAAACACGTCCGCAAACAAGAGACAAAAAGGCCAAAGTCAACAGCCCAGAAGGAAGCTCAGGTTCTGTCGTTGGACTGCAGGGTTCTCCAGCGATGGAACAGCACCGTCTTTGTTCTGCGTTAAACATTAGCAGCATCCAGCAGCTTATCGCTGTTGATCCTGTCGTCAGCGACAACGTGAAGGTCAGAACATCTGGACATCTGTGAAGGGACGCTGTTGTGGGAACAGGTGCCGTCACACCTGTGTTGAGACGCAGTTATTGACTCATTACCCAGATACATAAACTGGACTGGTGAGAGCATCATGTCAACTGCTTTTGTATTTGTGGAGGGGAGTCGTGAGGTTTTTATTCACGTTAATACATCAGGACCAGCTGACAGGAACATGACATGCAGATGAAGACAGAAGGCTGACGTGTTGTTATGCTTCAGTCCTTGTACGAGGGCGATAATCAGCATCTTGTTTTGCTGCCTTTGAGTGATTTCAGCTGAAAACAGAGTCAGTGTTCATTCATAGAGGCAGACAACAGCTTCATTCACGGCATGAACACAGACGGACTTCATGACAGTTTACATTTTTGTCAACCTGCTGATGACAAACTGGACCTCCTCCATCAGCAGCTCAAGGAAATCACAGGAAGTAAATCCTTCAAACAAACGGACATGTTAGTAAAAGAACTGAAGCTTTTAATAAAATGTTAGCCTGCCAATATGTAGAAGCCCACATGCTAAATGTTACATGCTATGTGTTACTGTAAGTTTATGCTAATCGTCTGCTACACTGGATATGATCCACAATATGCTGACAAGCTCAGACGCTTTGATGATAAATGTGTCTAGTTAGACGCCTAATTACTTGTTAACTTGCTAATTGTGTTGCTTTTCATGTAATTGCATTTTGAAATAATACAAGCTAAATGTTAGCTCGTTAACATGGGATGAACATGTCAATGCTTAGTGTTGTATGCTAACATGTCAGATTCTAGTCGCATGCATGATAGCATTTTAACAAGCAAACTGAATAAATATTAGGCACTAAATGCTAATAAGACTATGTTAGCATGTTAGCATGATGTAAACAAGTTATTATACAGATGATAGCATGTCAAGATGCTGAAAATGTGTGTTAGCATGTTAGCATGATAAATGCTACACACTTAATGTTAGCACGTTAACATGGGATGAACATGTTAATGCTGGCAGTATGCTAAGATGCTCAGATGCTAAGTGTTGTATGCTAACATGTCAGATTCTAGTCGCATGCATGATAGCATTTTAACAAGCAAACGGAATATTATATACTAAATGCTAATAAGGCTATGTTAGCATGTTAGCATGATGTAAACAAGTTATTATACCAATGATAGCATGCTAAGATGCTGAAAATGTGTGCTAGCATGTTAGCATGATAAATGTAGCGCACTTAGTGTTAGCACTTTAACATGGGATGAACATGTTAATGCTAGCAATATGCTAAGATGCTCAGATGCTAAGTGTTGCATACTAACTTGTCAGTATGGTAAGATTCTAGTCGAATGCATGATAGCATTTTAGCAAGCAAACTGAATAGATATTCTGTACTAAATGCTAGTAAGGCTATGTTAGCATGTTAACATGATGTAAACAAGTTATTATGATAGCATGCTAAGATGCTGAAAATGTGTGTTAGCATGTTGGCATGATGAATGTTACACACTAAGATAAAATAATGAATGTTCTAAGCAGCTGCCAAGTTGGTAGCTTTGTACATTTAATGTATTTTGTTGTGTTTTTTTTTCTCTGTGAACGTGTAGAAGAGTTAAACATTGAAGGAATGAGGAGGGACGCACAACGACAGTGTGTCTGATTCAGAGTAAACACTGATGGACAGATACTGAGGCTGAGACCCGACATGAGTCATCGCTGAGTTAAACAGTGACTCGGTCGGAGATAACGTCTGTAAACCGCTCATTTCACTGAAGATCACATCCTGCTAACGAGGACAAACAGGCGTCCAGCTCCTCACCTGTCTGTCCGTCTGTCCGTCTGTCTGTCTGCTGTAGTTCTGGCTAAGCTGATCTGGGACCTGCAGTCCTTCCTGTCTGTTCTGGACTCGGAGAACCTGAGTTACATCGCTCAGGCTCAGAAGAAATCCATCTCAGAGCTGCTGTCGAAACTGCAGCCTCACGACACGCCAGGTGACACGATACTACAGTATATGAGTACTGAGTAGTGGTACTAAAACTACAGTATGAGTAGTACTCCTTATAGTACTACTACTACTGTATGAGTACTAGTGAGTACTGCTCAGAGTGGGCCGACACCAGAGCGGTGGGGTTCTAACTGTCTGCTGTGTTTCCAGTGGAGGATGCTGAGTACATGATCATGAGCTGTCCATCATCGTCTCATAGCAACGAGCTGGTGGACGCACCTGGGACAGGTACGGCTGATGCTGCTTTCACACTGAACCAATCACAGTTCATAGTAACGAGCTGGTAGGAGCATTCCTGAAAAGCAGTGAGGTCTGTATGACGACATGGATACGGATGGATGTGGACGGTGTTTCTAACAATAACACTCTAGCGTGCAGACAGCTAACATGTTAGCATGCAGACAGCTAACACGCTAGCGTGCAGACAGCTAACATGTTAGCATGCAGACAGCTAACATGTTAGCATGCAGACAGCTAGCATGTTAGCGTGCAGATAGCTAACGCGTTAGCGTGCAGACAGCTAACATGTTAGCATGCAGACAGCTAACACGCTAGCGTGCAGACAGCTAACACGTTAGCGTGCAGACAGCTAGCATGTTAGCGTGCAGACAGCTAACATGTTAGCGTGCAGACAGCTAGCATGTTAGCGTGCAGACAGCTAGCATGTTAGCGTGCAGACAGCTAACATGTTAGCGTGCAGACAGCTAGCATGTTAGCGTGCAGACAGCTAACACGCTAGCGTGCAGACAGCTAGCGCGCAGACAGCTAGCGCGTTAACATGCAGACAGCTAGCATGCTAACATGTCATATAAAAGACAGTTTGGCATCAGGTGTTTGTGTGTTTATTTGTTTGTTTGTTTGTTTACCCAGAAGGCGTCCGCACCTCTGAGCTGGTCTCAGATCAGGACTCACCCGTCTGGCTGAGGAATGGGGTGAGTCAACACACACCAGACTGGTCAGACTGGTCAGACTGGTCAGACTGGTCTCCTCCACACACACACTGAATTACATTAACTAATTATTTAAATATTGTTGTTGTTTTTTAAAAAATTTTAAAACAGAAATAGATATAAAGTTTAAGTTTAATAAAATAAAATAATACAAAACATTATAATAAAAAACAATAATAATATTAGTAACATAAAAACAGGGGACAGGTTTCTCGACCCAGTATCTACCTGGAGGGACGCCGTCAGGAAACAGGCGTTTATAAAGATTTAAGGATGATTTTTGGGGCTTTTTTGCGCCTTCATTGTGCAGGACAGTGAAGAGAGAAACAGGGAAACGTGGGGAGAAGAGTGGAGCTGATGAGGCGCCGGCCGGACTCGACCCTGTACACGGGTCGCCGTCTGATCCGGTTGAGCTACCGGGTCGCCCTGAAGACAACAGTCTTTAAAAAGCAGTTTAATGGGGAAAAAAAATAAAAGGACAGGCTAAAAAAGACCAAAACTGACAGAATAAAAATGAGCAAAATATTTAAGAAAAAAGCTAATAATAATAATAATAATAATAATAATAATAATAATAATAATAATAATGAATAAATGAATAAAATACAAATGATAAAGACATTTTTAAAAAATGCAAATATAAAATAGGACATAAAAAAATACCACAAATTGAATAAAATTAACAAATAAAATTAACAAATAAAATAAAATAAAATCACATTAAATTCACATCATAATAAAAAAGCCAACGTGATGGGTTAATGTCACACATTCACTCCAGAAGTTTTCTCAGTCTGTGGAGCAGAAGAACATCTGAAAAGGTCCTTTACCAGGAACAAAACACCAACAACAGGTGAAACTTCCAGGTGTAGTTCCTTCCTATCACCTCTGGTTACCATGGAAACACAGAAGCATCGTTATTACGCATCCAATCAGAGCGCTGCTCCCGTCCTCCTGAACCTCCTCGCCGAACTCGGTTCTATTGTGAGGTCCAAGACGAGCGGAGCAGAGAGGAAACGGGCTTCCTTTGAGGAGTTCTGGAACGGAGAGGAGGAGGAGCAGCTCTGTGATGTGGGTCAGTAATGACAGAGCCGGTCCTCCTGAGGTTTGGGAGGAGACGCTGTGTGTGTGTGTGTGTGTGTGTGTGTGTGTGAGGGAGTGACAGGAACTTGTGTGTTTACATGTGAGGCCATCTCCCCTCAATCTGCCGTCCTATTGGCCGAGAGCGCTGCAGAGGGAGGAAGTGGTCACTGATGGCGGCCGATTAGCATCTGGCCTACGTGATGGATGGACACACACACACACACACACACACACACACACACACACACGACAAGTTAAAAACACACACTACGTCGGTCAGGATTAACCCTGCAGACACAAACCGACCCAGCTGGCTTTCCTACGATGACGGTTTCCGTGTTCTGCTTTTCTCTCTGACTGATGTTCTAAATGTTCCAAAGTGAATAATCGTGTTCTTCCATTGTTTCCGTCGACGCTCTGGCCGCTGAGCTTCTGCCTCGACAGCAGTCATTCTGGCTGTGTTCGGCCCGTTGGTCCAGTTCACTGCAATAAGTGGACGGCGGCCGTGAGATCGAAGCCGATGATGTTCAAGCAGCTTTCCATTCCCCCTGCCACACCAAAGAGCCGAGTCCTGTCAGAAGTAGACCCAAAACATCTGAGCAGGAAACTGTTTCCCAATAAAAGCACACAGCTGGTTCAGCCCACCATGGGCTGCATTTATGGATGGATTTACAGGTCACTACAGACAGAGCTGAACCCTGATCCTGCAGTGGGAGGCGTCCGGCCGACAGTGTTCTGGTGGATCAGGGTTTGTTGTTGTTGTAATACCGTGATCGACCACCAGGTGGAGTCAAAACCACAGAATCAGTCATGAAAAACACAGTTCGCCTGGTGGCCGAGTTTTATGTTTTGTGCGTTTCTGCCGTAAATTGACGCAGAAAAGGAACAAACTTCAGCAGAAAGACTCCTCACGATGCAGCTGGTGACGAGTTTCAGAACCTCCTGGTGGAGGACAAGTCAAATATGACCCAATACTCAAACCCAGGTGGTACTCGGTCCACTCTTTACTGAGTAGAGTCTGGACTCAGGTTCTGGTTCTGACGTCAGATGCTTTCATTTAAATATTTGAAATCTTTATTCTGGAAGGTTGATCGTAGCAGCTGGACCTGCTTGAAGACGTTCCACTTTCATCCAAGAGGCTCCATCAGCTCTGATGGACTAGTGGGAGTTCCACATACTGACTAAGATCTCTCCCCAGGAGGATGAACCCACATCCACACCTAGTCACAAAGGACCCTAACGAACCCCATAACGAGGGGGAGGAGCAACAAACCCCCAATTAAAACCCAAACTCAGGTGTTAACGTCTCCTTCAGGATATCAGGATGTGGAACTCCCAACCAGTCAGTCAGAGCTGATGAAGCCTCTTGGATGAAGGTGGAACGTCTTCAAGGAACTCAAGCAGGTCCAGCTGCTACCATTAATCTACCAGAAGAACCAGGACCTGGAGGACTGAGGATCTTCACAGACAGTTGAAATCTTTCCAGCATGTCCTGACACGATGAGTCTGTTTTTCTTCTCCTGTTGATAAACTGAAGCTTCCTTCATGTCGGTCAGACTGCAGAAGCTTCAGGTTCACTTTGACAGATCTCATGTTTCTGAGCTTGTCCAACCTGCTGCTCATTCAGATGCAGGGCCCCGTGGTGCCTCCTCACCCTCCTGGAGGTCTGGGAGCTGATGAAGATGAAGACACGTATGAGGAAGCTGAGCCTTACGTCGCCGCCGACACCACCGTGTCTAACACCGGTACCTGCAAACCCACCAGCAGCAGAACCACCTGGACATACAAACGCTGTGAGTCACGAAGCTTTTCTTTTCTCCAGAGAAGTCCGACAGCAGTCACTACGAGTCGTACGGCGAAGACGAGGACGAGGACGACGAGGGGGAGGAGCTTGTGAAGGACAGGGCCCACTACATCCAATGGAGCGCCTCGCAGCCCTGCCTAAGGCCCGTCCCCGAGTCCCGCCTCTGTGGCTACCTGTGGAGGAGGAAGTGGCTCGGACAGTGGAGCAAACAGCTGTTCATCATCAGGAACGACGCGCTGCTGGTGAGACGCAAAACACGTCAGCATCACCGTCTCCTGACCAATCAGGGCTCAGCGTTACACATGCAGTTACTCCAGCGTCCACTAGATGGAGCTGTGGTCAAACGTTTTACAGGTCAGCTGAGTGTCACACCTGTCACCTGTCACCTGGCCACTCAGAGACAGGTGTCGATCTGGTCGAGCGTAGACGGTCCTGACAGCAGGGGGCGCTCTGAGTGATCACCTGGTGTCTCTTCTCCCACACAGTGCTACAAGTGCGCCCGCGACCTGCTGCCTCAGATGGAGTTGAACCTTCGCGGCTGTCAGCTCGTCTACAAGTCGAAGACCAACAGGAAGATCCAGCACCAGCTCAAACTGGTGCCGCTGGGATCCGAGTCACTGGTTCTGGGCTACAGCAGCTTCCAGCAGGCCGACGAGTGGAAGAAGGCAACGTATCGTCACCACTTTACTCTAACTCAGAGCTACGCTTCTGCTCGACCACAGTTCAGAGGGAGAGTCTGTCTGGACTGTAACCGGACTGTAACTGGACTGTAACTGGATCACTGGACTGTAACTGGACTTTAACTGGACTGTAACTGGACCACTGGACTGTAACTGGACT